AAGTTAAAAAACATACATAGTTAGATCATCCTAAACACTTTCTTACAACATTTATGCGTTGTATTTTTTTGAATATTTTAAATATTTACAAATTTAAAAATTTTATTTTTTTACTTTTTTAAAATACTTTTTTCTTAAATTAAAAAAAAATTAGATCGCCATATATATATATCTAAATCATAACAAATTATTTGGTCAATACTTAAAAATAAACAAAAATTATTTTTCAAAAAAATAGAAAAATGCTTGGGAGCACTAATTAGTGCTCCCACTAATTAGGTGGCAGTGAACAAAATAAAAAATATTTTTTTGAATGTTTTTTCATAGAATTTTGAAAAGAGTCTGGTTATTAGTTTTGAAAAGATCTTTTGAATTGAATTTTGAATTATGTGTTTGGTTATGAGTTTTGAAAATTGTTTTGAATTAAGTTTCGAGTTATGTGTTTGGTTATGATTTGAGTGTAAAGTTGTATTTTGAGTTTAAAATATTAAAAAAAAAGTAAAATATTTTAAAAATAAAATAAAAATTTTAAATAAAAATAATTAAAAAATATTTAAAATAAAAATAATATATTTAAAATAAAAAATAAAATTATCTTAAACATTTTTAAATATTTAAAAAAAATAAATTCAAAAAATTTCAAAATACAATTCAAAACTCTTTTCAAAATTCAAAATTCAAAAATTTAAAACTCTTTTCAAAACTCATTATTAAATAAATTTTCTTATTTCAAAACTTAACTCACAACTTCACACTTAAATCACAACTCTACATTCAAATTATGATTCTAAAACTAAACCAAACAAATGTTTCTTTGCATATGTGTCACTTACCCATCATCACATTCTCCAACTGGAAAACAAAAAAATTGTCCGTTTGGTTTAGTTTTAGAATTATAATTTGAGTGTGAAGTTGTACTTTGAGTTTTGAATTTTTTAATTATGATTTAAAAAAAAAATTGTTTAATTATGAGTTTTAAAAATAGTTTTGGTATGATTTGTAATTTTTTTTTTTATTTGATTAATTGATATATAGAATGAGAGAATGTGAAAGGAGAGAGGAGTGAGGAAAAATGATTGATTGATTGATTGATTAATGATAATAATAATAAAAAAGAGCTGAGATGAGTTTTGAAAATAATTGTAAGCTGTATTTTAAAAATATGTTTACTTAACATGTTATATGATTTAAAAACAGAGTTGAATTTTAAAAGGTAAACCAAACGCGACTTATAAATGTGAATATTCAAACTTAAAATTATGAAACAAAGTGCAATAAACTTACTAAAATAATATATAGGAAAATTCTAATATACATATTCTTAAAAATGGTGTATTATATACTCTCTTAGTTATGTCATTTTATTATTTAGTTCTGACTTATTTTCTTTTTTAGTTATGACATTATTTTAGTTGTAATTCATGAGTTCGTTAATCATGACTTATGTTGTGTTTAGTTATAATATATATATATATATATAATATATTTTTACTTATGACTCAAAAAGTATAAAATTATGTTATTTTATTTTTTAGTTATAAGGTATGTATGGTACACACCTTTTGAAGGAGGTGTACCATAGTATTTCCCATATATATACAATAATAAGAAAATGTCCAGAAAATGATCTACAATATCACATGTAAGATGTAAAACTCCAACCAAACGCAATGATCCAGCTGAGATCTCAGAGCAATGGCAGCAAAATTAACGAACAGACTGGAAAAACAATATTGACAGTCTGAAGAAGAGGATTTAAGGAGGAGTTTAAAAAAAGAAAGGAAAAAAGTGTATGAAATTAGGTAAAATATAAATATGTTTTATTCATATTTCACATACTTTTTTCATTTTCCTTTCCAAATCATTTTTCAAATTTCCCAACCAAACACAGTATTAATGTTCATTTTTAATAGGAAATGGTTGAATGAAAATTTGATATACTTTTTAAAGCAAGGATAACACAGTTATTAAAAATACAAGATTTTAAAATTAATTAAGTAAATTACAATAAACCCCTTAAACTCTGATCCGTTTGTATTTTGTCCTCTCAAATTTCAAAATTCAATAGTTAACTACTTCAAAGTATTATCGTATTACACTTCATGTTACGATTTTTGTTAGGGATTTATATAAAAAAAGGTTAAATTTGAAACACACAACACACTTAGGGTTCGTTTGGCAAGTGACTTTTTTAGTTAAAAAGTTATTAAAAAAAATCAAAAAGGTAGCAACCTATACCAAAAAGTCAAAAATTTCTTTTTCTCTCTACTTTTTGCATATCTTTTCGTAAAAAATCAAAAAGTCATCCCAAACATACTAATTTTTTTTACATCATATTTTAGCTAAAAAGTCAAAAAGTTGCTAAAAATACATATTCCCAAACGAGGCCTTAGTTATTGAATTTTTAAGACAATTTGGTGATTCCATTTGTCATTAAGATAGGAGAGGCAAAATGAGATCAGGAGAAAAGGCTATTAATATCCTAAAAAATCAAAAGTGTGTTGTGTTGTTTACACACTATATGATTTTGTGTAAATCTCTGACAAAATTCTAATGAAAGTGTTAAGTGTAATAAAATAATATTTTGAGATAATTAACTATTGAATTTTGAAGTTTAGATAGAAAAAGTGCAAATGAGTCATAATTTAAGAGAATTCATTTTAATTTACCCTAAATAATTTTATCTCCGTAATACTAGAGTAACTTCAATGCTTATTTTTTTTTTTAGATAGGAAATGGCTGAATGAAATAATAAATTCGGTATACATTTTTTTTAAACAAGGAAAAAATATAAAAATTTTAAAATTAAGATCATCTAGTAAATAATTTTATCTCTCTAAAGATGTAAATCAACTTCAATGTTACTCTTCATTTTTTTACTACTTATAATACAAAAACAGTATGCTATATATTTTACCTAATTATTTTTTTTATTTATGTATTCTAACGCTATTTTTTATTTTATCTATTAATTCACATAAACTATTTAAAAAATCTCTTAAGATCCTCCAAATATAATTAACATGAAAGAATTTTAGTAAAGCAATTATTATAATAACAAGTACATTAAAATGAGTAAAATATGATGCGTAAACCTGCGGTTTTAAAAAATCTTATGTTGATAGTAGGTTATTAGAATCCCTACAAATAAGTTTTCGTGAGATTTTTACCAAAGTTTTTCTTAAATCTTTTCATTGTGAAAACATTGGTGTTTTCTCTTTTTGCTTTTTTATTTATATAAAAACATTATTTGAGATTTATTTAAAATATAAATTGTTTTTGTAGTTTTAAAAATTATAAATATCACTTTATTAGAATTTTTTATATAACAAAATTAACAGAAAAAAAATAAAATTTCTTACTACTCTCCTATACAATAATAAAATTACTTGAATTGTTAGTCAAAATATATTTCTGGTATCATTAAAAATGGTTAATTAACTTGATGATTTATTAATAAAAAAAATTATTTATTATACATTTAGAAACTTAAAGGAGTGAGATATAATTTTTAAAACTATATAAGATGATCTATTTAAAAACTTGATGTAATTTGTTTATTTATTTTGGTTGGTGAGGTGGAATTTTGAATTTTTGTTTTTTTGGTCTTGGGTGGGGAAAGGGGAAATTTTGAATTGAACCCCGCAACTAGCAAGAATAAAAATGAAAGAACAGTGAAGGAGTGAGTAATTTTTTTTTTTGAACCGGAAAGGAGTGAGTAATTTGATGAGCCCAGAGAGGGCAGTTTCGCCAGTAAAAGCTGTCTGAACTTTTGTCTTGTCATTATTTATGAAATAGATAATAGGATTACATGTTTTAATTAATATATGAATATATATTATGATATTATTATTTTAAAACCATAAATCTCACTTATTATAAAAATTATAAAAATTTAAAATTTATAAAATTATGTTTAATATATTAATAGAAAGTGTTATAAGTTTTAAATTTTTTATTAAATAAATAATTAAATATTTTATGAGTGTGAGGTAGGGGTGAGTAACGGATATACTAATCCGCTTAAATCAATCTAATCGAACCGATTTGTCACATTTTAGACAGATGCATAATGACGAAAGGACAGTTGCGAATTGATTTTTTTCAATTTGCTTAGTTTTGGATGAATGGCAGATTTGAGGTTACCGAACCGCCAAATCGCGAGCATCCCTAATAATTTGTAAGATTTTGTGTTTTTGATTTGTTTAGATATTTTGTTTGTGTTTTCAATTGAAAAAAAGTTTAAACATTCTGTTGAATATATATTATTAAAAAAGAGTTTGCAACTTGAATATATTTTTTGAATTGAAAAAAATAAATATATTATTTATCTATATTTTTTGGTTTTTAAATTTAACTCTAAAAATAATAAATAAAAAAGATGATACATACTGGTTAGTTTTTGTTTTAAAAAATTGATATAGATGTAACAATATAGAGGCATACAATCTCTACTACTGCTCTGTCTATAGTTTTGATGGTTTGAATTATATTTATATTTTAAGAACCACATATTGTAATACTTTATGTGAATGAGTCATGTTGTAATTGTAATATATGGATGATACATACTGTGATTGTAATATTTTAAAATTTTAAACTTTCTTTCTTTGAATGAGGCATGTAATGATTGTAATACTTTTTTAAGTCATTAACTGTAATATATTTTTTTTTTGAGGAAGTGCACAAGTTGAATTATGTTGAAAATTTATAAAATTTTAAACTATCAGATCTATTCGCATCTATCCGCCAATCTGCTCAATCCATATCCATCGAATCGACGAATGAATACGAATTAATTATCTTCAATCTACCAATTTGACGAACAGATAACAAATTAAAAATTCTGTGACCGCAATTAGCCCACACCTACCTCTGCTGTGAGTTTCATTTAATTATTTATTTAATAGAAAATTTACTACTTCTAACGTTATCTTATATAATAATTGATTAATTAATTAGTGTAAAAAATTTCCGAGCCCGATCGGATCGAGTCGAGTCCAGCGGTGAAAGCGGCGTAGAATTACATCGTCACCCATCTCCCCGGACCCACACTTTGCCTGTTGGGCTAGCTGGTGTGGGGTCCCTTCCCTGGATTTGGAGGAGCAAGGTAAAGAAGAAGAGAGGCCAAATCCAATTTTGAAGAGTACAAATTGGAGTGGAGTGTTGCAGACACTGCACTGCACTCTGCACATATATATAATATTATATAATTATAATATAGTGCTGTTGTTGTTGTTGTTCTATCTTATACTGTTCTGTTCTGTTCTCTCTCATGGAGGAAACAGTTGCCTCTCTTCTTCTCTAACAACCCTACCTGAAAGGGTAAAGTGAAGAAAATAAAGAAAGGTTTGGTTTTGTTTTGGGTGTTTTAATTTTGAAATAAAAATAGAAAATGGGGCTGATGCTTGGGACCAGATCACCACCTCTCAAGGCTACTGGAACTGGCGTCTCTGCTCGATTGGTTTCCTTCTTCTGCATTGCCAGCTTCTTCTTTGGAGTCCTTGTTGTCAACAGGTCATCTTCAATAATGCTATGGATACGAATTTCCCAAAAAACCATGATTGCCTTTCTAGATTTGTTCTTCATCTTCTTTGCTTCCTGCTGCTTTGTTTTCTACTCCCATTTGATCTTGTTTTACTAATGTGTGTTTGGTTGAGGGATTTGAGAGGGGATTTGGAAAAGGGAAGGGAAATTATGTGAAATTATTCACATTTCACATAATTTGTTCTAGGTTTTTGTTTCTTGAGATGGTTGAGTTGTATTCTCTGCTGCTACTTTGGATACCATATTGATTGATAAAAACAAAAAAGCCTAATTGATAACTATTAATCATCACTGAAATTCTTACCAGTAATGTCAGATAAGGGGCTCATATTTTTATTCTTCTTCTAGAATTCCCTACAACTATCTCAATGGGTTTTGTTCTTAGGTTAAGTAATCACATATAAGGCTGCAAATCTCATGTCTCACTCTATCCTTGAATTGCAACCAAGTGTAGGGATGTAAAATTGTTGTTTGTTTGATTTTTACATGTTTTCTTATGCCATCTGATTTAAGTAGTTGAGTTAATACGCAATGTACATGTCAAAATTGAGAGTGGAAATTAAACTTGAAGGGAACTTGAATTAGGTGATGCATGTCTTCTTGATGCTAGTGTTCTCATCAACCTCAGTTTTAACTTTTATATATGCCTTTCCAGATTCTGTTTCATGAACAGTGTTGTAATGTCACTTAAAAAGAAAGAAAAATATAAAAGTAGGTTTTAGAATTTCACCCTTGATTCAATCTGCTTCTTATCTTGATCTCAATGAATATCCTCTGTCTGCTTTCTCAAATAAGAATATGCTCTACATGACTATAGAGTGTTACCGATAAATACTCACATATTTATAATGCTCTAAAAATATGCCACGTGTAATTGATTAGATTGATTAGCCGTCAATGAAACCCTTAGCATGCCATTTTCTAGAGAATGCATCTTGTGGCTAACATCAGCATGGTTCCTGACAGGGTCATGCTTTTTTCACCTCACAGTATGCAAATTCATTTACTCTTTCTGTTTTTCCAATAGTTATAGATACTATGAAACCCTTCATGTTTACGAAACCCTTTCAAATGTTTGTTTTAATCAAATTATACTGAAGTTTCAGGTATATGGTCACCGGTTCCCTTGACTTTGCCATAAGGATGCCTGCATTTTTCTAATTAGATTTTGTAAAGCGCTCACATATCTAATTTAATGGCTGTCTTGATTTCACATGTGCTTTGTTTTATACCTTGTTCCTAGGTTTTGGGCTGTTCCAGAGCCAGTCAAAATAGATGAGACTTTATCTGAGGGAAAACAGCTATCAAGAGACCTTCAACCTGTTATTAATTGTGAGAAGAAGGCAAGTCACAAGAATGATATATTACAATTACAAGCCTTATTGCCTCTTCTAATATGTCTAGGTAATTTCTTATGTTGTTGTAGGAGGCTATGGTTGAGCCAGGGAACATCCTTTCTCAAGTTTCACAAACACATGACGTAATCATGTAACTTTCTGCATCAAGCTGAATTATATGAGTGTCCCATTTTATGGAAGCCTTACAATTGATTCTTAGTTATTTATGAAGCATGGACACCTCTCCGGACGTCGCGTACAAGTGTCCGACAGGTCGCGTACAAGTGTCCAACACATGTCGGACAAAGACACGGATACGGACATGGACACGGACACTCTCCGGACACGTGTCGGACATGCTGGGACACTTTGGACACGCTGAGGACACGCAAAAGACACGTTGGGGACGCACTAGGGACACGCTAGGGCAACGCTGAGTACTATTTTTTTCAAAAAAAAAAAAAAAAAATTAATTTGTTTACTAAAATAGCATACTTGAGGTTGATAAATTTGACAAAATAAAATATATATATTAAATATTTAAAAATATACATATAATAAAAATATAAAAATATATGTTTTGAATGTGTCCCCAACGTGTCGTGTCTTTCATTTTTTGAAAATTTACATGTCGGCGTGTCCGAGTCATGTCTGTGTCGTATCACGTGTCCGTGCTTCTTAGGTTATTTTATATGTATTTCTGATACAAGAAACTCCAACCGATGGCACAAAATTTTCAGGACATTGGACAAAACAATCTCTTCTTTAGAGATGCAGCTTGCCATGGCTAGAGCTGCCAAAGCTGACAATGAGGAGGGGTCTCCAGTGATTATGAAACCGGACACTGAGCAGTCAAACAAGCGACCAAAAGTTTTCTTTGTTATGGGAATTATTACTGCATTCAGTAGCAGAAAACGTAGGGATTCGATAAGAGAAACTTGGATGCCTCAAGGTTTCATATGGAATTTGTTTAATTGTTCTCTCCCATTCACCATTAGTCCTCTTCATTTGATCTTGTTGCTTATATGAATTTTGGTACTGTCTATCTTAGGAGATGATTTAAAGAAGCTAGAGAAAGAGAAGGGAATAGTAATTCGGTTTGTTATAGGACACAGGTACGTTATTGTAAGTGATTGGCATTTAAGTATTCAGTTTGCTTTATTTATCAAAAAAAAAAAAAGTATTCAGTTTGCTTCAGGTTCATGGTTTTCCAAAATATAACGGATTTGATGCTGTACAGTGCAACCCCTGGTGGCGTTTTGGATCGTGCTATTGAGGCTGAAGAGAGGCAACATCAGGATTTTTTGCGGCTGGTATGTCAATAATTTATGGCCATAATACTGACCTGCTTTACCAGGCATTGTTGATTAGTGAAAAATCAGGGAAAGGCATGCTGCAAAATAAACTTCATCTTTTACTCCCTCTATCCCATATTAATAGTCCCTTTTGAAAATTTCAAACTTTTTAAGGAAACATAATCATTACATTTTGAATTCAAATTGTAAAGGGTTAATTCCAAAAATGCCCGTCTATTCTCATTTTTAAATATATTTATAATTACTTTCCAAGAGGTAATGTTGGAAATATTTACGTTTAAAACTTTGACTTTTCAAAGTGGACATTGATTTTGAGACAACAAAAAATGAAATAATGGACTAATAAAATGGGCCGGAGGGAGTATTTTATTTGATACTTTTTCATATATATATATATATATATTCTCTATGTATGTATTATTAGCAACAAATGGAAGTAAAATGAATTATGCATGGTTACATGGTCCAATGGGTTGGCAGAAGAACCACATAAATTCTAAAGACATTTGTTGGGCTTTCCTTAATGGCCAGGAATTTTGAGTGTCTTTGGTCCAGACCAATCTGGGAAACTCATTTGGGACTAGCATTAATTGTGTTGCAGAACCATGTGGAAGGATATCATGAATTGTCCTCAAAAACCCAAATATACTTTTCAACAGCTGCTGCAAAGTGGGATGCTGACTTCTATATTAAGGTTGACGATGATGTGCATGTCAATCTAGGTTAGCATATCTTTATTCTATCCACCATCAATCTCTGAAAGGCACAAACTCCTGATGGCTGATGCAATAATGGAGCACTGAACTAGTTGGTTTAATGATGTGGCAGGTATGGTCGGTTCTGCTTTAGCCCGCCATCGGTCAAAATCTCGAGTTTATATTGGCTGCATGAAGTCTGGACCCGTCTTGGCACAAAAGTAAGATAATGAAATCCTCTTGTAAACTATTTCTGATTATTGGGCATGCATGTAATTTATTACATACATATATGCAGAGGGGTCAAGTACCATGAACCAGAATATTGGAAATTTGGTGAGGAGGGAAATAAATATTTTAGGCATGCAACTGGACAAATTTATGCAATATCCAAAGACTTAGCGACCTATATTTCAGTAAATAGGTAAGGGCTTACTTCACAGCATCTTAATCTTTGAAATTTAATGCTATATGAAACGGTTTGCTAATAACATTTTTGTCTGTAGACACATACTTCATAGGTATGCAAATGAAGATGTCTCTTTGGGTTCCTGGTTTATTGGTCTTGATGTTGAGCATATTGATGACCGAAGCCTTTGCTGTGGGACTCCTCCTGGTATGATTTGCCATTATGTACTTGAGTTCCATGATTTATCATCTTCTTTCTTTATAATGATATGCACTTGCTCACATGGACCAATGAGAATTAGTGATACATTAATTTAGCAGACAATTAGTGGGACAACAAATGTCAATTAATCGTGGACACTACTAATTATTGTTATTCTATTATCATTTAATATGCAGATTTTGCATCTCATCAATGTTTCAAAAAAAAAGATTTTGCATCTCATCAAGAATAATGGAGTTAACCTAAAGGTTAAAACCATTAGTGTACATGATTAATTCCTTGTATGAAGAAATCCAATATGAATCTCAGTTCAACTTAACTGCAAAATTGTGTTGAGGTTATTGGACTTAAGGTCAGGGGGACTAAAACATGAGCCGCCCTATATCTCCCCCTTATCCCTGAATCCAATGTTTGGCAATTTATTTTTTATTTTTATAATCCTAGCCCTTATCCCTCCATATGGGATTAGTTATCCCCAACTTCCGAATTATCTCCCCTCCATCCAATGGTTGTAAATAAAATAATCCTTTCCATTATCCCATCTAACCAAAGTACAATTAATACTATGGTACATATAATCCCATTCATTGTGCTATGGTATTACTTATCCGCCTCTTATCTCATGGTATTACTTTTCCCTAATCTTGTTCGTGAATCAAATATGACCTAAATGACCTAAGACTAATGGTGTAGAAGCAGTAAACAAAGACGCAAGTCAGGGTTTCTGAATGCCCTCAAATCAGTAACTATCATTCAAAGAACCACCATCCAGGGTGTCAAGGACCTTGTCAATTTGATCATCATGAAACGGTAGAGATGACGAAGAAGGACGAGGAACAAAAACTGGCATCGATAGAGAAGGAAGTTCTGTAGGCAAATCTGCTGACTACCGGGTGATCCTCGACTCAAGACTACGCTTGTACCTACCCTGCATGCATCGTAAGAGACTACAAAGACTTTGGAAAAGTCAATTTTACTTTGTTTGGTTTGCAGTTTTCAAAAACAGTTTTTTGGGTTTTCAATGCCTATTTTTTTTTTTTCAGTGAATTTTTTTATTACTTTAACCAGTTTTTTAGTTTTAAGATTCACTTAATCTAGATCCACTTAAAAAGTACAAAATTTATGCAAAAATCTTCCAAAAATTTGTTTTGTTCTATTCAATGAATTCTTTAATATTGTTGCACAAATTTCGTACTTCTTAAGTGTATCTAGATTAAGTAGATCTAAAAATTAAAAATATATATTTTAAAATGTTAAAAAAATTTACTAAATAAAAAAAATATGGATTGAAAACTCAGAACTGTTTTTGAAAATTCCAAACCAAACAGATGTCTCAAGACGGAGCATTGTTCATCTTCTTTGTAAGTTCATCAAAGGTTGTAGATGCAGTTGTAGTCCATTGGAACTTGTCTTTCTTCATACAGTTAGTAATGAATGAGAGTCATAATGGAACTAAACCCCTTAATGAACCTCTTATAGATTGTGGCTAGTCTTGAAAATTATGAACGTTGATAATAGACTTAGCAATGGTCACTCTCTGATAGTTTTGACCTTGTCAAGGTCAGTTGTAATGCCATGCGTGGAAACTATGAACCTTAAGAAGAGTACTTGGATCTACATGAAACAACAATTTTTTAGATTTGCATACAATTTTTTTGCACGAAGTGCCTCAAGAATTAAATGAAGATGATCCACATGTGCTGCCTTAAAATAGACTATCAAGAATTTTCCTATTAATGGATGTAAGAACTCAGTCATTACACTTGAGAAAGTGCTAGGGGCATTAGATAGACCGAAGGGCATGACTAACCACTCACAGAATTAATCTTGAGGCAGTCTTCCATTCATGTCTAGGCCTAGTGCAGATTCGATGATATCCACTACACAAATCAATTTTTGTGAACCATTGTGAGCCAACCATATGATCTAACATGTTATCAAGGCTAGGTATGGGAAACCTATACTTGACAGTGATCTTATTAATGGCACGACTGTTTAACACATACTCCACAAGCCATCCTTTTTAGGAGTCAACAAGGCATGGACAACACAAGGTCTAAGACTATCTCTAATGAAATCTTTCTTCAAAAGTCCCTCCTTCTACCTGTCTTTTTAGCTCAACATGCTCCCTAGGATTCATACGATAATTTGGAAGGTAAGGAAATTGCGATCTTGGGACAAAATCTGTAGCGTGCTGAGTATCCCTAATGCGTAGCAATTCATCAAGTAGCTCTTCAAAAGTTACATCTTAGAATTCTCTCAACAACTTGTTGATCTTAGGAGAAAGGTCAACTATATGGTTAGATGCAATGCAACTTAAATAACTCCCTCAGTCACTAAAGCTCATACAAAACCAGTTTCCTTTTCCACTTTATCAAACTCTTCCTTGCTCAAGACAAGAACATTTTGTTTGGTAGGTGCTTTAGAGGAAGACCTATGTGTTTCATTCTTTTCCTTATCAGTGGCTTTTGCAGGTTTTAACAGGATAGTGTTACCTCAATGCTTAAATACACAGGTGTTCTATTTTCAATAATTAAGCACTACTTTATCATACAACGAAGGGTGGCCTCCATAGATAGGATATCACACCAAATATGGTTGGAGTAATCCCCCATTTGGATTGGAACTTGGCACTTCTCTGGCAGTAAAGTCTATTCACCCAAGCAATTCTATATAATTGAGGGTTGCAATTTTAAATTAGCAACAGTTGACTTGGAGACCATATTCATGATACCCTCACCGTCAATGATAGCGTTACAAACTCTATCTCCACATTTCATGAACGTTGGAAAGATCTTTGTGCGCTTCCACTCATCAACCCTCGCAATAGTAGATTAAGTACTCTTCATGACCATGGTTATCAAAACTGCGATCTGGATCATAGGATCGTACTATCCTACATTGCTAAAATGATTCAAATTGTTGTAGGGTCAGTTTTATAGCATTATCGCGGGTAGGATCGTATGGGATTGGGTAGGATTGTAGGTAAGATTGCAAGTAGGTCTCTAGTTTTGTGATTTTTCACCTTTTTGTAAATATTTATCACATAGATTTGTTTTTCTACCTTGATTTTAACAAAAAAGTAGGATCTTACGATCCTCAATTCGATCCACGAGGCCCTCTCACTAATTCTACCTAGGATCTCAATTTTAACAATCTTGCTCATGGCATAATGTGGGTGTCGTCATTTTCTTTAATTTCTTGGCCCTTGTCCTCCTTGATAGGTCGTTTTACACACCAAAAATAAATACTAAACTGTACCAAAATTCCTTAGAATGACGGTGAGTCTGTCAATTTTGCACAAACGACGTTACTTGATTATACAAAATGACTATATTGTCCTTTTCATTTGAGTACAAAAAGACAAAAATACCCTTTAATCCCTAAATCTCTCATACCTACACCTCACCATGCGCTCTCTCTCTCTCTCTCTGGCCACCACCAATACAACTGCCTCCAGCGATCCTTGAGCCCACCAGCGATTATTCTCCTTAACCCCCTTCCTCCAATGGTGACCTCTCTCCCTCGCCGCCCTCTCTCCCTCGCCGCACTCTCTCCTCTCTCCTTCCGGTCGCCTTTGCTTATCCATCGCCATCGCCATCGCCAGATCTGGAAAAATATAGGGGGAGAAGGTAAGAGGGATGAGGGTTAGAGAGACATGTTTGAATAGATAATAGCAAGTGAAGTGGCTGGTTATGGAGTGGGCACTTTGCTATTTCTACCCTCAAAATCGATGCTCTCATTTCTTCTTCCCAGTTTCAGTTTTCACTCTCCTTCATTATTGTTTCTAGATTCTATTCATTTGTTAATGTTTTGGTCTGTGTGAGAATGTTTTTAATATTAGATTTTACCAATTTTAGCAAACAAGATCGAAGCTTGATCTACTTCTGGGGGTGATGATTTGCTTAAATTGGGTTTCTATTCTTTGTTGGAAATCCAAACAAGTTCCTATTTGAATTTTAATGTGTGTGTATATATACATATATATTTGTGTATAAATATACATATATCTGTTAAACAAATTGTTCCCATGTTTATATATTTGTATATATATACATATATCTGTCAATATGTTAAATTGTTCTCATGTTTATATATATATATATATATATATATGTTAGAAGAAAAAAAAAAAAATTGTTCCCATGTTTGAATGTATGTACATATATACATACAATCTTGTTCTGGGTTGTTATTGATTGAAGAGGTGAAGAGAATTGTGAAGAAAAAAGCATGGAAGATGATGAAGAAAAAATAGAGTTGGGTTGTCTCTGTTTTGATGGAATCGAGTCTGGTCTATTTAATGGCGATTCGGCGGCCGAAGATTAAACAAATTTAGAAATTAATTTAATTGAATTTTATTTTCTTTGCTAGCAATCAAAATATATTTGCATGTGTTTATATATATATATATATATGTATTTTTTCGTATATATGAGATTTGTAAAATCAATTGAACTGGGTATTGCTTTGTTTGAATCTGGGTATTGTTTTTTCTTAACAAGACACTTGAGGGCCTTATGGGCATTTTAGTATTTATCTTTGATGACATCAGCAGTTTCTGTTAGTTGTGTGAACGACAGTCAAAAAATGGGAGAATCTTGATATTATCAATTAAAGTAGGGGATGTTTTTGTAATTATTGAAATCACAGGAGAGGTCTTTGTATTTGTCAGAAACCTCAAGGGAGGTAAGTGTAATTTATCCTATATTTTTACTATTTTAAAATATTTAATTTATTTACTAAATATAAATATCCAAAATTCAAAATGCTTATACCTGGATGCATTTGCTCCTTGCCACACGAGGGGTAAGACGCCTTGCATTACGTATTTGCTTTTAAAAAACTTTGGTTTCTATATACTCAGTATAGAAATATGATTCAATATTTTTGGAATATCATAAGAAGATAAAACTCAAATAGTTAGATAATGAAAAAATTCAAATTTTGAAAGTCTCAGCAAATCTTAGTTCCCCTCAGGTTGAAGATGAACATTGAGAATCCTTGGTTTGCTTGCCAAAAAATGAAATCAAACTTTCCCCAAGGCCTTGGTAAGAATATCAGCATATCAACATGTTAGTTGGTGGCAGAGAAGTAGCCAGTTTGGATGTTGTCGTATCATGCCCTGGTTTATACGCCGGTGGATTATTACTAATTTATGATAATTAGGGTGATTAAACCCAATAAAGTTTAGTTTTAGAAGAATGTGGCATTTAGGAGTCAAAAACTCCAAATATTTTATTAATGAGGAAATCCAATTCAAGATGAATTTAAATGAAAATACTGTTTTTCGCCGACTTCAAATATCTATAAGCTCAATCTCATACCAATTGCTTAGAATAAAATATGAATACATTAAAGATAATTAACGTTCAGTCCTGAATTACAACTCTCAAGTTTAGGCTTTAAAAGCCATGAATGAACTCACAACCCTAAAATACAAATTACATAAACATCCAAATAAATATACGCTTCCTAACTAACTAATTTTATAAGTTCATAAACAAACTAGTTAAATTTACTCGTTGATGCCCAAAATAATAACAAAACTCAAAAAAAAGCCTAGACATAATTAAGCATAGATATACGCGTGCAAACCCGCAAAAGATTTAATTGTTATGCATGACCACCCAACTCGATATTATCGGAGATGGAGCACCTGAGATGGTGAGTGAGCAAACACAACGGCTCACCAATAATCATCTAGGACATTTGAAATGGATAAATTACATGCAAGAATCATATTATCCCAATTCTTATTATCTTTGTTAAAGTGGTAGCTACATAAGTATCTCAAATCCCAGATAAAATCAATATTATCGAAAATCAATGAAATAACTCATCAACAGTCTAGTCAAACCTTGTCCAGTCTAACTACAATACAATCATGTCCATAAACTAGGAGACTATTCAAGTTCCTAATCCCATATTCATGGCTTACTAACAGACTATGGGGAAAACAACCCCGCGCAGGTTTATGGGCTCTCACCGACAGAAAGCCGTAGCACCCATCCTTGCTACAAGGTACACAACTAACCAAACTGCTAAACGAGCCCCAAACAAAGCAAACAAGCCCAAGGCTAAATCAATACTCTAAAAAATATATCCAAACTCAACCAATTTCAACTTTCAAGTTCATCAACACTCCTAGAAATTCACATTTCCTTCACAATGTATTTTATTTCCATCATTCACCTCTTAGTTCCATAAAAATAGATGTTTTCTTTAAAAAAATTCATTTTTAAGTTACAAAGTTTTCGAGAATTAATTATATCGGTCAAGTCATAAATTTTGTCACACTCATCTATTATAATCATTTACCATGCATATATACCCAAATCCCATGATATAACATACAGTAAAAATTTAAGAACATAACTAATAATCATAAATAAATTATCCATCATCTCTAAACTAACAACACCACCAAAACCCCTTCAAATTCAATGAAAATAATCTCCAATCATTGATATTAAACTAATAAGCAAACTTTTATAGAAATTAGTATACTAATCATTATGAAATCCAAATGTATATCTAGACACATATCATTTTCTTCATCACCAATTTTACTTTGGTGATATAATTTCTTGAAATAAAATGAAACAATTTAAAAGCCCCAATTTTCTTTAGACTAGTGACATGGAAATCATGGTGTTAAGCCACTACATAGACGAATATCTTCAAGGACACCAAATCAAGTATGATATAGTCATGAATGACAAACTAACACTATGAATCATAACAAAATCATGGATTTAGTATACTAATCAATCAAATAAAATAATAGTAACCCTAACATGCTTTCTATACATTTCAAATAAAAGAGATGAAATCCCTACCATATTTTACCACAAGGGATGAAGAGAGATGATGCAACGAGAGTAATGTCCCCAAGAAGTTTTAAATCCAATCTTTTAGGAGGTTTGAGCACCAAAAGTTCCACCAAAATCTTCAAATGATGAGTATTTCAGTGAGGAAGGGAAAAGGAAAAGAGGGGGAGTCTCACGGTAGACAAGGGAATAATGAGGAAAAGGGTTTGTGTTTCCTCTCTACAAATATATCTATCTAACTATCTTTCTAATATATATAATCTAAGTAATACATAAGAAACAAAGATAAAAGGGAAAGGGGAGGGTAATGAGTTTGCAGCCAAGGGAGAAAATTGGGGGAAAATTCCCTCCAAAAGTTGAAATGGAATTGACTAGCTAAAAACTCAATTTCATTAGGGTGAGTCATGGGTATTGGATCAAATATTTATTCGTGAACTTACAAACAGTCTAAATAAATTTTACAAACACTAACAAGTCCAAATAAATATTTTGAAGTCATGGGTTTGACATCCCAAACCCAAAAAAATAAAGCATGCACAAATTTAAAGTGGACCCACCAAACTGAATTAATTGATTTATGCAACTAGGTTCAATTTAATTTAAAATAAACATGATCAAGCACCATACTAAATTAATCGAGTCAAGTACTATTGCTAATTAATTTTTGATTAGTGAGATACATGGATAATTAGCACAATTTAATTACTTAATTAAGGAAATAAATTCACCAGGCGTTACATGTCATGTTGTACTTTTCCACAGGTATGATGACAATCAAGCTCAATATATTTTGTTCACTCATGAAACACTGGGTTAGCAATGATGTTTAGGGCTGTTTTCTTCTTGGTAGTTTTGTGGGGCCATTATAACAGAAACCAAGGTCTGCAACAAGATAGCATAGCCAAGTCAATTAACAACAATTTGTGCCTTGGTTCGGTATTAATAGTATATTTTTTTTGTTTTCCAAGAAATGAGACTTGTGTCGAGGAAGATGCAATAGGTAGAATGTGTCATTGGACAACTAGCTGAGTCGAAATCACAAATTATTGTAAGTTGCAAAGCATTTGTAGCAGATAAAAGTACACCTTGAGTTGGAGAACCTTTTGGGTAATTTTTGGAAGATATATAGTAGTTGCAAGATGAGACTTCCTAGGTGCGGCCATAAATTGTGGAGTATTTAAACAACATGAAGTATCTCAGGATGAGTTATTATAAAGTATATAAGTTGGTCAATGAGTTTTTTATAGGGAGTTGGATCATCTATGTTGGGGAATTAGTGTGTTGATAATTTTCATAAATAAAATGTGTAATAGGTGTCTAGGTTAGGTGTATTGGTTGAGTGTTGTCCAAGATTGAAGATCATTAGAGACAATGCAATGTGCACTTGGTATAATTGTATGAAGATATTGCATTAGTTAGGACACATTTTTAGTGCTTAAATTTTATTAGTTTGCCCACTTCTAAGTTATCTATGTGTTGGGTAATTATTGGGCTAAAACTTAATTGTTTCGTCCGAGGGCATGGTTATAAGCTGACTCAAATTGCACTAGAGTTGGGCAATGTTGAATCTTAGAATGTAGATGTAAGAGGAGCGCTCGAAGCCTGTTAGAGTGTGGCACTGAGTCTACAGAATTCTGATCCTAAGAGGTGTGCTTGAAGCCATACAAGCAGATTTCTGAATCTCTATGACTATATAAGACATCCAATTATATGAATCTAAAAATATTCATTAAAAGAACTTGCTACCTTGAGAACATAGGAAATCTAGTTCTTTTTTATTATGACTGATTTGTGAAAAGCTTCTTTGACTGTTTTGACAAAAACCTTACATACTCTAGCACTTTGATCGATCACTTGTGAGTGGAGTTTGAGCTTGTGAGCTAAACAAAAAAGAAGCCAAGGATAATGGCATCCAAGGTTTGGTTGTATTGTAGGTCATTTTAAGCGATTCTTTTTTACAAAATCTTGACCTAATTTACTATGTAGGGTGTACACCGTTGTATAAATGATTACATGAACTTACCATTCTTTGGGATAACGGTGTTTATTATCTTTATAATGCTGCAATCACGTATATGTAACGGTGTCTATTATCTTTATTTATTTACAATGATATTGTGAGAATGGTATATGCATAAATAAGATATTGGAATTGAATAACTGAATTCTTAACCCACGTGGTAGTTTTTAATCGGTGTCAAATTGTTTTGCCTATTCACCCCCCTCTGGGCACAAATGCACCTTCCTTTGTGATTTCATCAATCTAAAAGAGGACGATCTTGACTATTCAATGTCAAATTTTGTTCCATAGGAAATGGCACTGGCTGAAATGGTAACAAACCCTTATCTTGTAGAATTTCTAGCATGTATGTACATTGCTGGAGTAAAATTTCTAGTTGCGAGTGACGAACTCCGATGCCCAAAAATAAGTTGAAGGATCCACCAAGTGGGTAAGATGAAGACAACTATTGAGAAACACCTTGGTTGGTGTTAGATATTTGTTTCTTTGTGACATTACAATTATTTAATATGCAACTTTAATCACAATAAAATCTGAATTTTGACAAAATAAGATGTTTAATGAAACATTAAGTAGAGACATTATGATTGACAAATAAGATGTATGAAAAACAAATGGCTAAGTAGTAAATTGTGCCTTCCAACTTATATCACCTTAGTGAATCAACCTGCTTGTTACATACCTAACCAACATACTTGTTACATCCCTGGGGACTTGGTTTCATCTAAACCAATTTTTCAGTTACTAGCATGTTATATGATTTCTTCCAAATATGGCATTGCATCCTTACAAATATGCATCGCATATATGCACAGGAGGTAACATATTCCTTATAATGTTGATTTTTTGGTTGATAGATTGTGAATGGAAAGCTCAAGCTGGGAATCCTTGTGCTGCGTCTTTTGATTGGAGCTGCAGTGGTGTATGCAAATCCGTGGAGAGAATGGAGGAGGTTCACCAACGTTGTGGGGAAGGTGATGGAGCTATCTGGCACACAAGTTTCTGAAACATTTCCTCTCCGTAATTACTTGTATCATATCTGTGCATGTGTAATGATTGGAAGGTTCAGACAACATCTGCCCGATTTTTGCTTATTGATATCTCGGGACAGTTGATGTACTGTTAATTTAATTACTGCACCTAAATGAGGGAAAATTATGAAATTTTAGTTCTTGCTTAGTCTTAGCCCCTAAAAAAACAGGAACTTTTATTTGGTGTAGTTCAAACTCCAAAAAACCTTGATCATTTAGCTAATTTTTTTTTTTATAAAATATTTCTTTGACATTTTATTTATATATTTATTTTTTTTGTTTTGGTCTTGATTCAGCTTCGAATTCATTTCACTGAATCCTTACCATGTGTGATGAGTTATACCAATGTGTACATCCTACGCTGATTGCTCTGTGTCAACAATTTTGTGATCAAACTACATCTCTGATTTCATTTTGCGAATGTTAATATTATGTCGTCAGCTGCCATTTCTACATAATTCACATATCCATCATCAGCACCTTTCAGTAGTCTCTACTGCGTGTGTGCGCACGCGTGTATGTGATGATTGATGAAACACTGATGTTGACGTAACACGAAACAAAACGTTCTTTGTATCGTATAGGCCTTAACCCATCTTGTTTTTCTGTTGCAAGGCATTTTTGGATAGCCATTAAAGCTTGATTTTTGTTGGCATTTCTTTTTTGTGGTTAAGTTGTCAATATTAAGGAACAGTCAATCTCAGATTTCAACTATGATTACATGTTTTCCACGCTAAATCTAAGCTGCATCTACAATTTTTTTTGGGTTGACACATTGGCTTGTTGAAATTCGTGGGTGCGTGATGCATGTAGTTTTGGGCGGTGGAAAGGCCAGGTTTTGCACAAATAACCATCACATCTGAAGGATTCTGGGATGAAATTTATGGCAATCATTGAAAGCTGTATATATATGCATGTGAAAACTGTGTAAATGATGATGGATCGATCCGTTAATCAATTGCCAAGATTGAAAATTGAATATTCACAAGTCTCTCTCTTGTCACATTATAGATAGATTTATGAGGGGTTGGATTTCTTTCATATTGAGATCTTAATATGAGAGAACTTGAGGGGCTCGTAGGATGTACTACAGGTCTTGTTTCGATGATTTGAACCATTCATTTTGTAGGGTTTTTAATGTATATTATGTTGACAAAATTTAGGTCAATTCGATTTTTATTTTTTATGTTATTTTATTTTTTGGAACTGAAAGTCAATTTGATAATTGTAACTTTTTTATTTTATAACATTTGTCTATAAAAAAATAGGTGGTCTATTTCAAAAATATATGTCATTCATTTTTTTGGAGGCAAATGTAATAAAATGAAAAAGTTACATTATTAGATCGAATTAATTTTTTTCATGAATAATATATATTGATGGTTCTACAAAATAAATAGTTTGGATCATCGAAACGAGACCTGTCGTGGTCCTATAATTTTCTCAAGTTCACTCATGTGAAGATTTTAAAGTCCAATCCATTTTTCGAAGGTACACGCATCATGCATGCATTGCGCTTCTTAGGGGGATACCGGATTGAAATTAACTATTAAATAATATTTATGTAAAAAATATGCATCTTGAGCTTTTGTTCTTCAAATGGGTCAAAAAGGCCTATCTATAACTAGTTTTCGTTATACATCTAACGGCTATTATGAGTTGAAAACAAAATAGTTTATTTGTATATTTATTAAGGAATTTGAGATCCATTCACTTGAAATGTTTCTTTGTACATTTACAAACCTATTGTAATTAGTGTACTCACTACTTATATGCAAAGAAACAAATTTAAATTCATGAAGATCTCAAATAAAAAAAATATAAAAAAAATGTAAGCAAAAATGTTATAGAGTTGCATAATAAAGTTTTGTTATATTTGGATTTAAATCAAGCTCTCTCCTTATATATTACAACAAAATGGAACACATAAATTAATATAATTGAAAAATATATATATAATGAAAATATATGGGATTGAACAAAAACTTCCTTCAAATTCTCGAATGTTTTCCAAATACTCTTCTCAATTGATAAAATTTTTCTTCAAAAAAAATGTGTGAACTCCAATTGCATCGCAAAACATCACTCTTTGTGTTGGTTTTTTAGCTCTTTGTTGCCACAACTACTTTTTTCCTGTACATTGTACTTGTAAAGTTTTTAAAAAATGAACAATAGATTTTGGAGTTACAATTGCATCTACTATATTATTATAATTTCAACAACTAACTTAGATTATGAAGCAAAAAAATAAATAAATACACCAAATAAACTAACACTAAACAAAGAAAAAAAAATTGCAAAAGAAAAAAGAGAGTAAAAAAACACAATATGAGATTTCAAACATGTATTTCTTTTCATATTAGATACCAAAAATCTTGCATAATTGATCAAATTACTTGTTTAATTCCTGTACATAATTTCATCTCTTCTCTAACCTTTTTGCCCAATTTCATATTATCATGAAAGTTGGATTTTGCAATTTACAAGTTTAATTTTTTGAACTTTTATCTCTAAAATATTTAAAAAATCTCTTATCCATTTCGAATTTGAATTTTAAAATGAATTAGTATACTTTCCATTTGAAAGTTATAAATCAAGGATATAAATGGATTAATTACTATTTTTTTAATAATTCAATAATGATTTTTTAATTATTTAAAAAATTAGAATTCTAAAAAAATAATATAAGAATTTTGAGTTTCACAAAAATATTTTCACTAAAAATTGCATTTTTTAAAATATATATACATGTTAAGAATACAATAATGTGTGATCCTACTAGGATATCATATTTAGATACCATATGGGGTGGCACCTCATATCATATCACATTAGCCACATCATGTGATGGTCCTGACAAAATGTTAGTAGTATTAACTAATTCTTTTTAGATACAATATGGTCCTATCAACTAATGCCTTAGTACAATGTGAGATGTCACATAAATAGTATCCAAATGTGGAGGGAGTAGCTAAATGCACTCCTACAAACTTCTTTGGACCCATCTAAAATGGATCCCACTATCTAGTATTTCTTTTTGTTACAATAATAAAATCCTAAAGAAAAATTACCAATAAGTACAAAATTCCTATACTTTTTGGACCCTACCTTCTTCTAACCCTACTTCCGTGACAACCACTACCACCACTGTCCACCCTTATGGGTGGTCGGGATTGGGAAATTAAAGTAATGGATGTCGGGATAAGGAGATAGTAGAGGGGTTCGTGGATGATAAAGGAGAAGTTGTCAAGATAATGAGGGACTAGAGGTACTAAATGAGGTGATGGAGTGAGGTGGTAGAAGGGGTTGCAAAGAGGCAGGGGGTGGTGGAGAGCTTACAAAAGGCTGGGAAAGAAAATTGAAAATAAGAGATTGGGTGGTGACAGAGATGGAGCATAAGGCTCGACAATTGGTGGTGTGGTGGTTGTAACAAGTGACTACTAGTGTGAGAGGATGGGGAGGGTAAAGGTGGTGGTAGATGGGTTGGTCATGAGTTCAAGGCTTGGAATGTGTTAGAAAAATTTTGGTTTCAGCCTAATTGATAGTAATTAATTGATAGACATAAATTTTTTTTAAATAAACACAAATAAAAATCAGACTTTGTAGTTGAGTTCTATACCTTAAACAGATTAAGGACTTCTTTAAAAGTAATTAAATATAGAAGAGGCAAAGCAAAATAGAACATAATATGCATTTATTCAAATGGATTGTCACTTACTACCAGTTACAAGAATTTAAATAAGAACAAAGTAGTTAACAAATACAACAGTCAACAGAATAAAAGAAATGGAGGTTGGAAAGTTATCACTTAATCTACTCCTAACAATTGCTAAATTAAATGACTCCTAAATTGATATCACGTTTTGTGAGTGATTGTGGATGTCCTTCTTCCTTTTGTCTAGCTCTCTTCTATACTTGTTTTGCCTAGCTTTTAATTCTGATCCTCTATCTCTTTGTATCTTTTTCTCAACATTTTAGGGTTGCCTTACTTGATCTTTGAATTCTGATTCCCCTTGATATTTTGCAACCACTTTGTTCAAACCTCCTTCCTTGGGAGCTCTTATCTTTTAACAAAAGAATCACGTCGCATGTCTCTTATTTTATGCCATGTCCGCAACTTATGCCTTGTCAACTACTCTACCACGTTAACACCGTATCAACGAAAGATTTTCAAAATTTAGCACCAACAATGCCTCCTTTCATTCAAGGTAAAGAATTTTCCTTAACACTGTGTTTGATTTGAGGATTTGAGGAGGGATTTGGAAAGGGAAAGGGAAAAGTTAGGTAAAATGTGAATAAAATATACTTACATTTCACCTAGTTTTACACACCTTTTCCCTTTTCCTTTCCAAATCACTTCCCAAATCTCCCAACCAAACACAACATAAATGATTTGAATTTCAACCTATCGACATAAATAGTCATAAAAGGCCTCCTTCTTGTAAACCAAAAATTTGTTTGGGCCATCTGCCAATCTATAGGCCCAAATGCTCCTACCTCGTTTGGGCTCCACACGGAGGTACTTAAGGATTTTCAATTTCTTTTTCTTCATCACTTCAATTTGACAAACTCCCTTATGCTCTGAAACCAAAACCCTAAACTTCAAACCATAGCTTCTAACCCAAGCACTGACCTGGCTCGTTGATTCCCTTATGAAGTTATCCAACTCATTGAGAAGAACAAATTTAACTCTTAGATCATTGCTAGCCTCATTGCCAGTGCTGGGGAGCTTGGGCCCTGCGTCCTAACCACCTTTCCAGATGGTTTGTCTCTATACTACCCTTTCGTTGATGGTGAAACCCTTCTTTTGGACCAGCCTTTACACTCATGGCTAAACTAGTCGACGAGCCCTAGGTCATGGCCGAAACCAACTGAAAAGTTGGTAGCTTGGGTAAAGAGAATGACCACATTTGAGGGAAACATGTGGCACAAGCTAGGTATCTACCATGCCATTTATCTGTCCACCAGATGGACCCTTGGCTTATTGGCGCTACCACATGCTTCCAGTCTACCTCTTGCAACTCTATGATGCTCAAGTCTGGTATGACCTCTCATACTATTCTTGATATTATGCATTTTACTGACCTTCCTACTTATGGCCAAGACATTCATGCCCTTCTTAAAACTCCTGAGGTCAAGCATGATGTCAAGATAGGCAATTATGTCAAGTTTATCTCATATCACTCAAAAAAGACTAGCATTCCC